GTTTGGCTGCTGCTTCACCTCATCTCGTGTCCGTACTGCTTACCCCTGAGGGAGACCCGGATGCACTTGACATCCCGACTCCGCGCTCTTACGCGGAGGCGATAGAGGGTCCCTACTCCTCTCAGTGGCAGGCAGCTATGGACGCAGAGATGGCTTCCTGGAAGTCCACAGGTACCTACGTTGACGAGGTTCCCCCGCCTGGGGCGAACATCGTCAGTGGCATGTGGATTTTCAGGGTGAAGCGGCCGCCGGGTTCTCCGCCTGTCTTCAAGGCGCGTTACGTGGCTCGTGGCTTCAGTCAGCGGCAGGGAGTTGACTACTTTCAGACCTTCTCTCCCACCCCGAAGATGACCACTCTTCGGGTACTGCTGCACATAGCTGCTCACCGCGACTACGAGCTGCACTCTCTTGACTTCAGCACTGCTTTCTTGCAGGGCAGCCTGCACGAGGAGATCTGGCTGCGTCGCCCACCTGGCTTCACTGGGTCTTTTCCTCCTGGCACCCAGTGGAGCCTCCGGCGGCCAGTCTACGGTCTCCGCCAGGCACCGCGGGAGTGGCACGACACACTGAGGACTACACTTGCGGCTCTTGGGTTTGCTCCCTCTACTGCCGACCCGTCGCTGTTTCTGCGCACCGACACTTCTTTGCCGCCGTTCTACATCCTCGTGTACGTCGACGACTTGGTCTTTGCCACAGCTGACACTGCTGGACTCGCCCACGTGAAGTCCGAGCTGCAGAAGAGACACACGTGCACAGACCTGGGTGAACTGCGCAGCTACCTTGGCTTGCAGATCACCCGGGACAGAGCACGCCGCACCATTACCCTGACTCAGTCACACATGGTGCAGCAGGTCCTTCAGCGCTTCGGCTTCACGTACTCCTCGCCTCAGGCCACTCCTCTGCCTACTCGCCACTCGCTCTCAGCTCTGCCTTCGGATGAGTCCGTAGAGTCGAGTGGCCCGTACCCAGAGCTTGTTGGCTGCCTCATGTACCTGATGACCTGCACACGACCTGACCTCGCATACCCTCTTAGCATTCTCGCACGCTATGTTGCTCCTGGGAGACACAGACCGGAGCACATGGCTGCAGCGAAGAGGGTGTTGCGTTACTTGTGCAGTACGTCGGGCATGGGGCTTGTGCTTGGAGGGCAGAGTCCAGTGGTCCTCACTGGGCACGCAGACGCTTCTTGGGCTGACGACCAGGCTACGCAGCGGTCGTCACAGGGTTACACCTTCAGCCTTGGTTCCGGCTGCTCTCCGCTACTTCCTTGCTCGTGAGCTACAGCAGCGTGGTCAGCTGCGGCTTGCGTACGTGGCCTCTCAGGCCAACACTGCTGATATCTTCACCAAGGCACTTGCGCCTTGTGATCATCAGCGCTTCTGTACTCAGCTGGGTCTTGTGCCCACCTTGCCTCACTTGCTCACCCCTTGACCTTGTTTGTACTGATGCATATATATATATATATACTCCTGCTCTTGCTTGTCTAGCCTTATATATATATGTAATCCTGCATGTGAACTGGCCTTGTGGCCTTGAACTTGTGCTCGGAATGTGTGGTGACTTTGTGATCCACCCTGAGCTTGTTTTGCTTTGCTTGACTGGTCCTGTGACCCCTTGTTCTCCCCCACTTTGCCTATGGGGGTGTGTCAGATTTATATGACATAACTACTGTAGGCTATAGTGGGGTGGAACATATGGGGTACAGTTTTCTAGGGTTTGCTTTTTGTACCCAACTTTCACTTAGTCATTTCATTCCTCGTTTCTTCTTAGCTAGTTCTGAGGGTGCTGGTTCTGAGAGCGCTAGAGCTGAGGGCGCTGGAGCTGAGGGTACTGGCACAGGGGGTGCCAGAGCTTCGGCTACTGGCACTGGAGGCGCTAGTTCTGGGGGTGCTGGAGTTGGTGGTACTGGCGCTGGAGGTACTCGTTATGAGGGAGTTGGCGGTCAGGGCACTACTACTTCGTCGCCTCCTCCGCCTCCTCACCGTCACGACACGCGTTTCCAGGCTGCTTCTCGGCGTGCACGCGAGGAGCAGGAGCAGTTGGTGCGGGAGACTCTGGAGCTTGAGCAGCAGCAGTTGGAGTTGCAGCGGCAGGAGTTGCAGCACCTGCAGCAGCAGCAGCAGCCACAGCAGCCCCAGCAGGCGCTTTTGCAGCAGCTTTTCCCACCAGTGAGTGGCCTTCGGACCCTTGGTCTCCCTTCCGCCTCTTCGGACCACTCCCCGCCCCCTCCTGCTCCCGGTCTTCCTCCTCCGGACTCGTCCCCGGCTGTTGTCTCTCCAACTCGTCCCTAGCCCGCTCCTCCTGTTGTCCCACACTCTCGTGTCCGCCCATGTCCCCCACGTGCTCGTTCCTCTTCTCCCATTGACGACCTTCGCACTGCTCTCCTTTGTTATAGTCGTCGTCGTTCTCCACCAGCGTCTGTTCTCCCGTCTCCTCCTGGGTCGTCCCTTCCTGTCTCCTCTACCCCTATCTCTGACTACTACCGTAATTTCCGTCCTGTTGTCTCCCGTGTTCTCGCCTCTCTTGTTACGGCCCCTCGTGCCTCCCCGTCGTCTGTCTCGGCTCTTACCGCCGCTGTCGCTGACTTTGCCTCTACCCGCCGCCTTGACCACGCCACCCGCGTGGTGGCTGCCCGGCTTCTGTCCGTCAGGGGTGAGTCTGCCCTTGGCTGTGACGTCCTAGAGGACAGGCAGTTTGAGCTGGAGTTCCTAGCTGCCGCTTCTCCCCACCGCTGTGCCATGCTGCTAGCCCCTGAAGGAGACCCTGACGCCCTTGACATACTGACTCCTCGCACGTACCGTGAGACAGTGTCAGGGCAGTGGGCCTCTCACTGGATAGCAGCCATGGACACAAAGATGGCGTTTTGGAGATCCACAGGCACTTACGACGACGCAGTTCCCCCGCCTGCGGCGAATGTAGTCGATGGCATGTGGATCTTCAAGGTGAAGCGGCCGCCCGGATCACCGCCTGTCTTCAAGGCACGCTACGTCGCTAGGGGCTTCAGTCAGCGTGAGGGAGTTGACTTCTTCCAGACCTTCGCCCCGACCCCGAAGATGACTACTCTTCGGGTGTAACTTCACGTTGCAGCACAGCGAGACTACGAGCTGCACTCCCTCGACTTCTCCACTGCCTTTCTCCAGGGCCGTCTGCACGAGGAGATTTGGTTGCGTCGTCCTCCTGGCTTCACTGGCACTTTCCCGCCTGGGACCCTGTGGAGTCTGAGACGACCAGTCTACGGTCTCCGCCAGGCGCCCCGTGGGAGGCACGACACTCTTCACTCCACTCTTGCTGACCTTGGCTTCTAACCTTCTTCTGCTGACCCGTCGCTGTTAGTTCGTACTGGGGCCCACACCTTTCTTCGTTCTTGCCTACGTCAACGACCTGGTCTTCGCTACAGGAGACACGACTGCTCTGGCCGAGGTGAAGTCCGAACTGCAGAAGAGACACACGTGCACTGACCTGTGTGAACTGAGACGCTACCTTGGCTTGCATATCACCAGGGACAGAGCCGCTCGCACCATCACACTGACTCAGTCACACATGGTGCAGCAGGTCCTTCAGCGGCTCAGGCTTCAGCACTCCACCACGCAGCCCACTCCTCTTGCTGTTGATCACTGACTCACCGGCCCTTTTCCCGACGAGCCTTTTGAATCCAGTGGTCCCTACGCAGAGCTTGTGGGCTGCCTCATGTACGGGATGACTTGTACTCGCCAGGACCTCGCTTTTCCTCTCAGCGTCCTTTCTCGCTTTGTTGCGACTGGGAGACACCGTCTTGTTCACTGGACGGCTGCTGTGAGGGTGGCGAAGTACCTGGCGATTACATCAGGCATGGGGCTTGTGCTTGGAGGGACAGAGCCAGTTGTGCTTATCGGTCATTGCGACTCTTCCTACGCCGACGACGTGCAGACCCAGCGGTCTACACAGGGGTACTCCTTCAGCTTGGGCTCTTGAGCTGTTTCGTGGAGGTCTACTCGGACGTCGTCTGTGGCACAGTCTAGCGCAGAGGCAGAGATCTCTGCCGGTGCCATGGCTGCGCAGGAGCTTCGCTGGTTGACCTTCTTGTTCACCGACCTTGGTGAGCGGCCTCGTTATGCACCGACCTTGTTCGCTGACAACAAGGCCATGATCCTCCTGTGTCGAGAGCCTAGACTGGAGAGCAGAGTGAAGCACATCTACGTGGGGTACTTTCTCCTGCGAGAGTTGCAGCGACGCGGCCAGGCGCGCTTGGACTTCGTGGCCTCAGCGGCCAACGCTGCGGACATCTTCACCAAGCCTCTTCCGCCTGATGACCACCGCAGGTTCTGTCTGCAGTTAGGGCTTGTTGAGGTAGGCCCTCGGTTGCTGTAGTCTGCCTCTTGTTTCTTGCTGTACTTATATATTTATATCTCTGTGAACTCTTGAACTGGCCTTGTGGCCCATTGCTTGTGCTCAGAATGTGTGGTGACTTCGTGATCCACCCCGAGCTTGCTCTGTTCCTTCTCTTGACTTGTCTTGTGACCACATGCCTGTCATGGTTGTTTTGATGCCCCTCACTTAGCCCATGGGGGTGTGTCAAACTATGTGTGTGTAAATATATATGCTGTAGTGAGTTGCATGTTAGGGGGTACAAGAACTCTATCGACACTTTGCTTGTTTCCCCCCTCCCCTTGCCCTAATTCATTCATTCCTCCCTTAGGGCGTGTTCCTACGGCCTCATATCAGGAAACTTCGTATCAAGAATGTACTTTTTGCCTGGTTAAACTAGCGAGAGGTTTAGGGTTTAGGGGAATTTTCAGTGTGAGCCTGATACGAGGTTGTCTTGATACGAGGATAGGAACACGCTCTTAGTCTCTAAGATAGTTAGTACTTGAGACACCCTTCCTAAAGATCAGCTCAGCAGCCGCCCATGGCCCACACAGAACAATGCAACTTGCACGTTAGGTCACAAGAGCTGTTAAAAACCTCATGGTTCCAGTGCATTGTGTAGCCAACAATACCAAATGTATTTTTAAGAAACAAGCTCATACTTTCTTCTTAGGCTCAAAAACGTATTTGATGATGGAGGACCTAATGTCAAGCATCTCTGGGAACTCTGCCTTCAGCTTCGAGGCATCCAGCTCGTTGTTGCTCCGTGCAGCAACAATCACCTTTGCCTGAAAACAGCAAGAATAGATGGTGAGTGACACAACATTCAACACAAAACAAAACGGAAGTACATGAAAGTTGACTTGCCTGCTCCTCCAGGGTGAAGTTTTGCCACTTGAAGTTGGGGTCGATGTAATCCCGGTACAGCTCAAGGATCTGATTGTGGCTAATGACTCCAGGGTTGGTGAAGTTGTAGATACCATGAAGACCCCTCTTCGCCATCTCGATGGAAATGGGCAGCAGCTCGTCCAGAACTGTCATGGAGTTCGGGATGTCCACAACCTGCAAACAAAGGAACACATGAAGACATATTAGAATCATCAAAACTTTGCTAAGGTAAAAATCACCCATCAAAACAGAAAACGCCCGACCTTCTGATAGCGGGAGATCTTGGTGATGAAGTTTCGCGGGTTAGACAGGTCGGATGAGATCGGCATGCGAACTCTAAGCACACAGACGTTGTCATAGGCCTTGAGCATCTCCTCAACCTGCAAGACGCACAACGAATCACGGTTGGAGCTGTGGCATTCGAAGGCCTGAAGATTGCAGCATGCAAGAAACAAACAGCATAGATTACCATTCCCTTGGTTTTGGAGTAGTAAGAACCAAAGAAGTTGGCGCTTTCCTCTTCTGTGAACCCAACCCCTGAGCCAAGAGTGTGCTTGTCATCGTATTCAAAGATGCAACCAGTTGCGTAGTTCATTACCAGCAAATCATGGTTCCTGCATGGTAAAGAAACGGGAGTCAGCAGTAGCCAAGAAGTTCAAGGATGGCCACAAAGAAACCCAGAACATACCTTGCAACATCGCATAGCGTGAGTACACCGATGACGTTGGCTCGGAGGGTTTCAACCTGGTGCGACTCGCACCAATCCACATTGGGCCGGCCAGTGACACCAGCAGCATTGAAGATGTGGGTGGGCTGAATCCGCAGAATATCCTCCTCAATAGAGCGTCGATCCTCCAGCCTGCCAGTACCATATTCGTACGCGATGCCCCTCTCGTCACAAAGCTTGCCCAGCAACCCGCCGATCCAGCCAGTTCGACCATAAATCAAAAACTTCAGAGGTGGCTTGCCCTTCACCACCGACGGCGAAGGAATCTCCTTGAACTGGTCCGCAGGGGGCATCGGTTTCTCCATGCTGTACGACGAGAGCATGCGAGGATGAGGAAGCAAAGCCCCCGACACATCACCCCAGTAGTCGAGATTCTGTTTGTACCAATCAAACGTCTTCCTCAAACCGTCTTCCCAAGAAGTCCGCTCATCCCAGCCGAGCGCTTTGAGCTTTTCGTCGTTAAGAAAGTACCGGAAGTCATTGAAAGGCCGGTTCTCGACGAATTCAATGTACTTCTCGGGGTCAAGGTTAAGCATCTTGCAAATGTCGTGAGCCACATCAATAACTCGCCTTTCCCTCAAAGTCCCGATGTTGTACACTTGACCCACGGCTCCCTACACAGAGTGAAACAACAAGCCGTTATTGCTGTTTAAGGTAAATGTTGAGAGTAATGTTCTTGTGTTGAGGATCTTACCTTGTGCAGGACGACATCGAAGGCCTCAGCAACGTCCTCGCAGTACAGATAGCTCCGCACGTTGGATCCATCGCCGTGAATGGGCAGAGGCTTGCCTTGCATGGCGAGCAGCATGAACTTGGGAATCATCTTCTCCGGGAACTGGTTTGGACCGAAGACATTGTTTCCGCGCGTTGTGATGCACGGGATGCCGTACGACTGGCTATATGCCATGACCAACATCTCAGCGCCGGCCTTGGTAGCAGAGTACGGGTTGGTAGGGAGCAGGCGGGAACCCTCGCTATTGCCCACGAGAGCGTCGGCGCTAGTTTCGCCGTAGACTTCGTCAGTACTGACGTGGATGAAGCGTTTGATGGTTCCGGCCTGCTTGCACGCCTCAAGGAGCACGTGAGTGCCATAAATATTGTTCTTGGTGAACTCGAAGCTGTTTCCGAACGAGTTGTCCACATGGGTCTGAGCCGCGAAGTGCATGACAGTGTCGATCCCCTCGGTCAGGAGAAGATAGTTTACAAGATCAGCGCTTGCGATGTCGCCCTTCACGAACTTGAAGTTGGGCGAACGCATCGATGGATCCAGATTCCTGAGACTTGAGCAATAATCAAGCTTATCCAGAACCACCACACGGTACTGCGGGTGGCTCCGGACGAGTCTGTTGGCGACATGAGAGGCGATGAACCCTGCAGCTCCTGTGATCAAAATAACATTCGGCGTGTACGTCTCAGCCATGGCGGCTCTCTGATACAAGGGACTGGGAAAGTAAAAGCGAGGTGGTGAGACTGCCTAAATGTTATCCTACAATATATTGAATATCTTACCTTCCCTCCACCCCAACAAGCCAATTCTCTGCCATCAAGGCTGGAAGTTGGGACTTCCAGCTTGGCATGCATCATCAGATCCGGAAATCTCTCAGGTTGGTCAGTGATGGGATGTGGCGCGGGAGCGGGGTGGGGGACCTTCAGCGTCTCGGCAGTTGCCAAAGAGGGTTTGGCGGGAGAGTGTCAGCCTTGCTACTGCCAGAAGCAAAACCAACAATCATTGGTTGGGACTCCACCAACGCAAAACAGTCTGCTGATCAGTGACGTGGCCATTGGCTAACGACCTAGCAGTAACATGAAACAAATAATGACAGGAATTACAATTCCTTACTGTAGCCTGACCATATAGGGTACAGCCCCAGGGTCACTTCGGTTCGGCCTACATTTTAGACCCGAACCACTTCCGAGCCGACCCCGCCCCAATCGCCACCTTTCCAACCCTCGCTCACCCCGAGGTCCTCGCCTAGCCAGGAAACCCCCTATATTTGCCGTCACTTTGATTGTAGCGACAGCTTCCGTAATCACAGTCTCATTATTAACTGATTCTGCGCACTCTGTTAGTTCAACTCGTAACAGTTGGTATCAGAGCTACTTTCCTAGCTCACCTCGCTTTTCAGAGTGTGTTACCCCTCGGGGGGGGGGGGAGAAGGATGGATGTGTTGGGGTCCAGGAGCTGCAAGTCGCTCGGCCAGGAGAACGTGTTAGTTGCTCCGGGCGGCCATGGATTTTATAGCGCTCTTTCGGCACCGCCAGATTCTTGCCTTCGACGTTCGCGATCGACTGTACCCTCCCTCCCCCCGGGAAACGGGCAACTGTAACTGTCGCGCATTCACTATGTGCGTAAATTGTGTGGTTTCCGTCAATCTCAGAGTTGATTTTGTGAGGCACCTGGTGTCGGCGGATCGTCGTCAGTGCACGCCCGATATTTTCAAAAGGAACGTGGTGCGAGTTGGCGTCACTACTTCGTCGTCAACTGCTCACTAGTTTTTCGGCATTTTCAAGCACGATGGAAACGGCAGCTGGCCAAGCAAGCCAGGCGCATAGTCATTTGCGTTAGAAAATGCAACGGCGGAGAGAGGCGATGTGACGACTGCTCAAATTTTGCGAGAGTCTACCGACGTCCCTCCCGGGTGTAGCAGTGTTGCCGCAGGAGAGTGTGTCGTGGGCGTATTCGGCAAGAGCATCACGGTGTGAGATGGCATTGTTTTCGGACCACCGAAAAGATCGGAATTATCGACTATGACCAGAATGTTGACGGGAATGGAGTGTTGGCCCCGCCCTCGCTTGGGCGAAGCCGACGTAGTGGTCGGATGCGCGGGAGGTGCGGCCTACCATCTGCAGAGTTCGACGCCTGCAGGTCGACGAAGTTGTCGACATGCAAGGTGTCAAACTTATATGCTGCTTATTGTATAGGCTATAGTGGGGTAGCCCATATGGGGTACAACCCAATTAAGGTTTCCTACTTGTACCCATCTTGCTGCTAGTTCATTCATTCTCGCTTACTGATTCTGACATGGTTTCAGAGCAGGTCCTGACCTAGGACCGTTTTTTTTAGGGCCCACCGAATAGTTTCCTGCCCGTAGCGCGTTACCTTGCCCGTAGCGCCCTACCGTGTCCGTCGCGCTGCCCCACCAGTCGCGTTACCGTGCCCGCACGCCGCCCTGCTGGCTGCCGCGCTGCCTTGCCCTGCCCTGCGTTGCGCTGCCTAGCGCGCGCCCTGCCCTGCCCTGCGTTGCGCCGCCCCGCGCACGCCCTGCCCTGCCTCGCGCTGCCCGCGCACGCCCTGCCCTGCCCTGCCAGCGCGCAGCTCGCTGCCGCGCCGCCGCCCTGCCTGCGCGCATCTCACTGCCGCGCGCCCTGCCCTGCCCGCGCGCCGCACGTCGCCGCGTCGCCCTGCCCGCGCGCCGCCTGCCGCGCCGCCCTGCCCGCGCGCCGCGCACTGCCGCGCGCCCTGCCCTGCCCGCGCGCCGCGCCGCCGCGTCGCCCTGCTCGTGCGCCGCCCGCCGCTGTGCGCCCTGCCCGCCCACCGTGCGCCCTGCCCGCCGCCGAGCGCCCTGCCCGCCGCCGAGCGCCCTGCCCGCCGTACACCCTGCCCGCCGCCGAGCGCCCTGCCCGCCGTGCGCCCTGCCCCCCCGCCGTGCGCCCTGCCCTGCCCGCGAGCCGCGCCGCCGCGTCGCCCTGCTCGCGCGCCGCTCGCCGCCGTGAGCCCTGCCCTACCAGAGCGCCGCCCGCCGCCGAGCGCCCTGCCCGCCGTGCGCCCTACTCGCCCGCCGTGCGCCCTGCCCGCCCGCCGTGCGCCATGCCCGCTGTGCGCCCTGCCCGCCCGCCGTGCGCCCTGCCCGCCAGCCGTGCGCCCTGCCCGCCCGCCGTGCGCCCTGCCCGCCAGCTGTGCGCCCTGCCCGCCGTGCGCCCTGCCCGCCTGTCGTGCGCCCTGCCCCCCCGTCGTGCGCCCTGCCCGCCCGTCGTGCGCCCTGCCCGCCACCGAGCGCCCTGCTCGCCGTGCGCCCTGCCCGCCCGCCGTGCGCCCTGCCCGCCAGCCGTGCGCCCTGCCCGCCCGCCGTGCGCCCTGCCCTGCCCACGCGCCGCGCCGCCGCGCGCCCTGCCGTACCCGCGCGCCGCGCCGCCCTGCCCTGCCCACGCGCCGTGACGCCGCGCGCCCTGCCCTACTGCACGCCGCTCTACTGCCCGCGCTTCGCCCTGCCCCTGCCCTACCGCGTGTCGCCCTACTTGCAGCGCGCCGCCCTACTCTGGCCGCGCACCGCCCTTCACTGACCGTGCGCCGCCCCGACCTACCCTAGTACCTGCTCGCCGCCGTACCTTCCCTGCGTGCTGCCGTGCCGGTCGCACACCTCCTTACTTTGCCCGCTATGACGTCTCTTCGTGGTAGCGGTGGGAGTGGTGGTGGCGGTGGTGGCAGCAGTGGGAGTGGTGGCGGCGGCCATAGTGGCAGTCTCGGTGGAGCTGTTCGGTGGGGAGTTTCTGGCGGTGGCAAGATGCAGCTCCAGCGATGTCCGCGCGAGTCCCTCACGCCCCAGCAGCTTCGTGAGTGGTTTGCTCAGCGTTGGGCGTCTCAGAGACGTGCTAAGGGTGACTGTTACCTGTGTGTGCCGCCCGACCCAGGTATAGAGGCTGCTGCTCTAGGTGCTAGTGAGCCTGCTGCTCTAGGTGCTGGTGAGTCTGCTCTCTCTGGTACTGCGCTTGCTGAGGCCTTGCAAACCTTCACACTTGACTCAGGTGCTTCGCGCTCCTTCTTTCACGACACCACCACACTCACGCCGCTCAGTCGGCCGGTTGCAGTCTCCCTGGCTGACCCCTCTGGGGGCCCAGTCCTTGCGCACTCCTCCACGGTTCTGCCGTGTCCGGCGGCCCCGTCGGGCTCACTGTCGGGACTCCACCTCCCCTCGTTCTCTACGAACTTGGTGAGTGGAGCTGACCTCCAGGACGTGTGGGTTGACCAGTTCACCCCTGGAGGTCAGCGAGTGACCCACTGCACTTGCTCTCGGACGGGCCGCCACCTGGCCACGTTCACCCGTCGGCCTGGGTCGAGCCTGTACACACTGACTACTGCGTCTCCTCCAGTTACTGCGTCTGGTCAGGTAGCAGCGTCTGGTCAGGTGTTTGCTGCTGCATCCAGGTCTAGTCCGGCGTCTGCCCCCTGCTCGTGTCGTCCTCTGTCACACGAGACTCTCCTTTGGCACCACCGCCTTGGTCACCCCTCCCTGCCTCGTCTTCGAGGTATGGCCTCCCGTACCCTGGTCTCTGGTCTCCCCCGGTCCCTCCCTCCCCTTCCTCCGGGGCCTGCCCCTACCTGTGTTCCTTGTGTTGAGGGCCGGCAGCGCGCCGCTCCTCACTCCTCCGAGTTCCCTCCGACAGAGGCTCCCCTGCAGACTCTCCACATGGACGTGTAGGGCCCAGCCCGCGTCCGTGGACAGGGTCACGAGCGTTACTTCCTGCTGGTCGTTGACGACTACTCGCGTTACACCACAGTCTTCCCCTTGCACCGCAAGGGTGAGGTCACTGAGGTGTTGATCGACTGGATCCGCGGTGCCCGTCGCCAGCTCAGCGAGAGTTTCAGCTCGGACCTTCCTGTTCTGCGTCAGCACTCAGACAGGGGTGGTGAGTTTTCCTCCGACCTTCTGAGGGCTTTTTGTCGTGCGGAGGGCATCCGCCAGACGTTCACGCTTCCGGCCTCTCCACAGCAAAATGGGATTGCTGAGCGCCGCATTGGCATGGTCATGGACGTCGCTCGTACGTCCATGATCCATGCGGCTGCTCCCCATTTTCTGTGGCCGTTCGCGGTTCAGTACGCTGCGCATCAGATCAACCTTCAGCCTCGTGTCTCCTTGCCGGACACCACACCTACTCTGCGGTGGACGGGGAAGGTTGGCGATGCGTCTGTGTTCCGTG